GCATATCCAAATTGATGGTGGATTCGTAGATTATTCACACATTAGCACATATTTACACACAAATGCAAAGATTGCAAAAGTGCCATACGCACCCTTCCACACACACTTTAAACATATACTTTAAACTCATTTCCATGCATACACACTTGATGCAATTTAGCATTCATTTTCACAAAAAGCAACACATGCAGAATGTATCACCCAGCGATACTTGAGGGTACATACATGCACACACATTTTCATATGCGCATGTGCCTGGCCCTGACCTTTCAACCTGTTAAACACTCTCCCAAGTCCATATCTGCAGTCACATTCAAACATATAAAGTATACACTGATCCACATATTTATATGCTTATTTGCATATTAAGCACTTACACTCGTATAAACATGCATGCATACACATAAAACGTACCCTGAGCAAGCTGCTTGAATTTCTTCATGGCAAGGCAGAGAATAAGTACAAACTTTAAGAAAAATACAAATAAATGCAGTGGGCACACACACAGAGGTACACATGCATTTTAACTCTACCTTGGATATGTACCTTAGTCCTAACACATGTGCATTTTCTATCTACGCTTCCTCAGTTGAATAACCATTAATGGGATCTACAAACACAAAGAGTACTGTGTCAAACAATCCTTCCTATCCTTTACATTGTAGCAAATACCAAAGGGAGGCTGTAGGCCTACTCCTTTTTGTTCCTGTCATCTTCCAGGAAAATAGGGAGCTTACGCCCAGGCCACTTACACACGATGCTTTGAAAAGCATTGCTGCCGATGAGGCCCCAGAATTAGCAAGGTTCAGGAGGAAACTGACCATGGAGGAATGTTTTTCTACTTAGCCAAAAAGATCCGGCTCCTTTGAACACAGACTTTCTGCTGAGATGTCCTAATGCATTCCACATTTGACCATTAAATCCTAATTGGAGGCTTGCTGAGGAAGGTATGGGGGCCCCAGTCTAGCAGCATTTCCTGGGTCACATCCCTGCAAGACCCAGCCTGGCCCCTGCCCTTGTATGACCTGCCCTTTTGAACTCTTAATCCTTCCACTGGTCACAAAGAATTAGGAGCTCAATTTACTCCTGAAACCTCAGGAATGTCCCCTTTGGTCTTCCTCCTCTCATCTGCCACCTCCACCCCTCACCCCCGCCCCGCTGCACACATAGACACACTGCCTTATTCTTTCCTTTCCTCCACCTCCTCAGTGAGGAGGCAGAATGTCTTACAGAGGCTTAAATGAAAGGCTCCAAAAAGCTGAGACTTTTATGATGAAACAATTGTGCTTGGCAAACGTCAGGCCTTGTATTTGATAATATTTATGACCTTTTTCATTAGTCTGCCATTTTCCTTAGAAATTATGATCTGGCACCGTCAACCTAACCAGGTCAGGTTTAGACATCATCGGCGGTGTGTGTATGAGAAGAAGCTCTCCCTCCGCGTCTCAAACGACTCTGTCACATCAGATTGGGGGCAAGTCCCACCAGGTACGAATGAGCCACCAGAGAGAAGATAAGGATGAAACAGCCTTGAAATAATCACTCTGGAAGGCCTGGAGGACTGGGAAGGAGCGCAATCTTCCACTCTGCTGCTTCCTGACTGTTCTCCCTTGTACCAGCTTTTGTGCATCCCTGGGCTGCAATGTTCTGCTAGAAAGTGGCAGTAATAATGCCTGCCCTCTAACAGAGCTGCTGAAAGAATCAAATGAACGAATGCAGTGAAAGTGCTTTGAACAAGTGAAACATTAATCCAAAATCGTTAACACTGAATGGATGAGGGGACTCTCTTCACCAACACTAACTTCAAAGTGGACTAAGAAAGCGAGACAATGGTTCGCCTGAAATGCAATGAAACTTACTTCTCACAGTCAATGCCTAAAAAATACAGGGAGACAAACTTCAAGTCTATGTAAGGAACAAATTCTTAAGGGTCAGAATGCTAAGAGGAAGAAACCAGGTGCCTCAGAGGCAGGGACTTCCTCAGCCCCAAGGACATTTGCCATTGCCTCCTGAGCATATCAGTCTCTGTGTCACCTCCGGTTGCAGCAACTGCATCCTCATGCCTCACAGATTAGCTCTGCCTCGACCAGCCCTCTCCAGTCACTGAGCCTATCTTGAGAAGCCCAAGACATGAAGTAGGGACCTAATACTCCTATCTAGTTAGACATTGAGTTAACAAGCCTGGACATGGAGCCTGATGTTGTCGTCAGGACTACTGAGCAAAACTTGTCTTAAAGAAAGTGCAGCCATTAAGAGTATGAGTGTTGTATTAGTCTCCTAATTTCACACTCTTGCTGCACCTCTTAATAGCTTAGCCACACAAGTATATTCTCCAAGTCTCTGTTTTCCTATCTTTAAAATGGGGATACAGATAAGGCCTGTTGCATAAAATCACTGTGGAATTAAATGAAGTGATCTGTTTAACATCTGTAGCTCAGTCACTAGCATTGACAAAGCTTTCAGTAATGTTACCACAGTAGGTCATTACCGTGATGATAGCGAAGATAGTGGAGTTAGGGACAAGGCTGCTCAACTGAATTTTTCTGGATTCATGACAGCTCACATCATGCCTTTTCCCTGTGATCAATGAGCATAATTTAGTCCTGGGTTTCTCTGCAGGATATAGTCCATTCCTGGAATGCCCCAACTTCATTCTTTTTTTACTGAATCCCAAGATTTTTGTCTTAGGAATTTTCCAGAAGACTGGATCCAGACAATGCACATTTATCTCACTGCACAAGGTGCTATCTGATTCTTTTGTGTAGATCCACATGGTTATTATCCATGTGAGTTATTGCTGAATCCATACCACATGCTTTTTAATCCTCATACTGACTTCAAGACACAAAACTGAGGTGGTGGGACTCTTCGGGAATGAACAAAGCACACAATAGGATGTAAATGGAGGTAGGTCAAGGCTCATAACACTGTGTTGTCAGCCTACAGTAATCGGCAAATCATAAAATATCTCTGTTCCTTTCAAGTGTATGTTATAAAAACTGAGACATATCAAACACACAAGCACACAAGCAATGCATTTTCAAGCAGTAATAAGTACAATGAAATTTTGAAAAGTACAGATTGGTGTAAGAAAATAGTCAGTTTAATATCTTAGGTGGAATCAAGAAAGACAGCTCTGAAGGATGAGAAGACACACAGCTGTAGAGGAGAGTTGCACAGGTAGAGAGAAGGATCCTGAGACATGAAAGAGGTTGGTCAATTGAAGGGCCTGAAAAAAAGACTAATGTATACTGAGTGTACTGTGGGAGTTTGCTCAACGGATCAGTTCTAGGGAGCATTGCATACCAGCGTACAGAATTGCTAAAGGAGGGACTCTTAGCAGAAGACAGGCAGGATCCGATTCATACGTGGCCATGTGTTGCATCATCGTGTAGGATTGCAATCAGCAGCATTGGTTATAGGGAAGTAGTGGCATTCCTCTAACTTCTTTGTTGGTTTAACAAAAAAGAAAGGGGAGCTGTTCATTTGTGGTTATCGGGTGCTGCTTTATTTCATGAATTGAAAGAGTCCAGAGGCCAAGCGCGAGTACTAGTGCTCAGCAGAGGCTATTGGCCCTTCCCTGGAACCTACAAGGCCAGATTCTTGTTCTCAGCAGTGTCACAATCCCAGAACATCAAATAATGTATGGCAGACAGTAGATGTGAAATAAAAAGAATTTTAAATTAATTTTATAAGATCAAAGAACAACCTCAGTCACCATTGTTAATGGGTAGCTGCTTTCATTTTTTATTCCAGCAAGACACTCTTCAAAACTTCAGGACCTCAGATCACCTTATTCCACTTTATTCAGGTCTCAGAGGCTTCCATCTTAGATATATTCCTGCTGCTCAATTTGGGAAAATGAAGCCTCAAACTAGCACCCTTCTGGATACTTGTTTGTAATCTAGCCAGACATCGAAACTGCTTGCTTTCTAGACATAAGTGTGAGAGAAGTTTAATTAGACATACACAACATTATGGCTTCTCTCAGGTTTCCAGTAGTATTCAAAACTGAATGAGAAAGTATTAAGAATTTAAATCCAGGACTCATCATCGCACCTATGTGAATAGTGTTTATGATCTCATGAGAACTAGCACTCCCAGCTTGAAACAATATTTTAAAGCAATAACATGACATTATTTCATGCTGATTTTTAATATTTTTCTGCATCCTGAAGCATTTCAAATATATTCTTTATTTTATGTTTATATGAAAGTGATAATTCTAATAGATGGCAGTTTTTGTCAGTTTTGGTTTTTTTATCTTTTTGAGACTGGGTCTCACTATGCAGTTCAAACTGGCCTTGAACTCACTTTGTAGCCCAGTCTGACCTTGAACTCTTACCAATTCTCCTGCCTCAGGCTTCTGAGTGCTGGGATTGCAGCTGTGCTCTACCACGCCCTGACTGCTCAGTGTCTTCAAAATAAAACAAGCTTACAAAATTATTTATGTAACATTTTCTTAACTTTCATAATCTTAGAGTTTGGGGTGCATTAAAACCAGGAAAATGCTAGAAAGATAAAGAAAACAACAAGCAGGGTTACATTTGTCCAGGTCATGGATGCAAATCCTCACACACCCACAAGCTGGGTCTGTATACATCATGATATCCAAGATCACATTTAGAATCTGCAGCTTACTTGTCAGGTAGAATATAATTTTACCCATTCCATAGTGAATAGCTGAAGAAGCCGAGGTTTGCAGTCAGTTTATTCCAGGCTGAAGTTACATCTTCTTAGTCAGTACACGCTACTAATGATTTTAGAATTTTTGGGGATGTGTGAGTACTGGAAATCAAACTCAGGACCTTGAGTTTGACAGGCAGGCACTGTGTTCCTGGCTGCTATAATTATTGAATTAATAAGTTAGTTAATGAATGAATGATCTAAGTAGATGTATAAAAGACCTAAAACTAGGAAAATCTGAATTTAAATTTTGATTAGATTCAGAGTTTGATAGGTTGTATTATGTTCTTCCTGGGTGTTGTCTCCCTTGTTACCTGTAGGGAGGTTGGACATCCTGTTCATTGCCAGCAGGAAGACAGTTGATAATACGTTCAAAAGAGACTAAGTCATTGAGCCGCTGACTTTGGACGTCTCCTATGAGGACAGCACCTCCTAAATGAGGTCTTCTTGTGTACCCTGGATCCTGTAACATAAAGACAGATGAAACAGATTGAAAACTGACCCATAAAATAATAAATGTTTGTGGGTAAAAACCCTGAAATAGTTTTGGTTGTTCATTTCTTTCTCACAAACTTGAAAAAAAAAATCTGACCAGTGCAACATCCATTTAATCTTAGCCACTTAACCACTTCAAGCTCAAATTGCCTCATCTGTAAAATGGGGATAATCTACATTTGCTTTTCAAAGTAAATATTGAAATTGGAATAAAAAGTAGCTCTACTGCACCAGACTCACAGTGCAGCAGGAAAAAGGAAAATCTCAAGTAATTTCATTCATTTTCAATGAAGAAGCTTTTCTTAAACTCTTGCACTCTAATGTACTGGCTTTATTTATTACTGTTTTTCCAAACTACCTATTCTCATTCAAGTCCAGTCTGTTTATTGAGCATCTGTTTTGGACTACATTCTTTACAGGCATTGTACCTATACAGCTATATATTTTCATTTGCACTTTTCATTTGAAATTCAACAGTGTGAAACCAAAACAATATATTCTATGCAGGACAAGTGCACAGGTTTGAGCCTAAAGATATATCTGCTCCCAAAGAGAGTGTAGATTCCTACCAGTATTTTAGTTAAAGCTTTTCAATATTTTATGAAAGTTCACATAATCAGACATAATTATCAACCCTAAAAAAAACCAATCTAGATATTAACACTATAGCACACAGTCTTGTTTGAGTGAGTATTAATGTTGAAATGTAGAGAAAAATATTCTAAAAGATGTATCCAGTCAGCAAATTAAGAAGCAGTAGTCGGGGCTGGAGATTTAGCTCAGCGGCACAGCGCCTGCCTGGCAAGCGCAAAATCATGAGTTTGATTCCCCGACCGGAAAAAAAAAAAAAAAAAAAGCAGTAATTCTTAATGTATGGTTGTCTGAACACTCATGTGAGAAATACCTGAGAATGTTTATTACCAGGCAGGTCCTTTGGCTCTACCAGGACTTACCTGGCTAGAATATTTGATTAGTCAGTTAAAGAAACCATATCTCTGAGTCTCCAACATTATTTCAGGAACTTTAATTAAATACTGTTATATTACCTCATTCACAGTATCATTAATATAGTATGTATGATTTGTATAAAATGTACAGTCCTAAGTGCTGAATTTGATAAGATTTTGACTCATTTGAAGACACCTGGTGGTCACCATCAAAAGCCCAAAGTGTAGAACAATTTCCTCCTAAGAAATTTCCCTACTGTTCCTTTCTAGTTGTCAATTGCTTCTCATAAGAACCTGCTTTCTGATTCTGTGTTTACAGGTTATGATTTCCTGGCATTGATCATCACACAAATGGGATTACACAGAATGTGGTTGTGTACATAAGTGTATAAGTATAGTTTACTGGGCTCTCAATAGATTCTTATATTAGCTTTTGTGGACATCTGTTTTTTTTTCTCTCATGCTACTATCTGAGAGTCATATGATAAGCATATATTTAAACTTATATGATCTGTTGTAATGGTTCATACATTGTGTCAACTTGAAAAGTTTAGAAGCTTAACTAAGCAACTCAGCAGGCAGCCAGGGTCCTCACTTTGTAAACATCTGCATCCTGTGTGAGGGGAAGGCAGAGAGATAGTGTGAATGCTATGGAGGGCGGCGGTAGCTTGCACACAATTTAAGGGAGGAAAAGAGGCTTGCTCTCCCCCACTTTTTCTCTTGTTGCTTTTGCTGTCTTCTGCCACCTTGAACTATTGCCCCTGTGCCATGCCACCCTGCCTTGGAGCCAACTGATTACAGACTGAAACCTGCACAAACTGTGAGCTAAATAAACCTTTCCTTCCTTAATTTTGGATATTGGGTATGTTGTCTCAGCAACGAGAGAAAAGTAAGACATCTGCCAAAGAGCTTTTTATTTCCACTAGCAGTGATAAGAGTTGTAATTTTTTGACACATTCTCTAACTCTTGGTATTTACAGTATTTGTATTTTCCCTGTACTAGTGAGCATGGAGTAGTTTCACATGTTAGTTTTAATGTGTATTGCTCTGTAGAGTAGTGATGTTGATTTATCTGCTGGTTAATGACACATTGCTGGCTTTTTCTGTATCTCCTTTTATGAAATGTTAGTTCAAGTAATTGCTTCCATTTCTTCCATGTTCACTGTACTTTGAGAAACATGTTCCAAAGGTGATATTTCAACTTCATAAAAAAGCCCTAGTTTTTGACTGGCTCTGCTGTGAATTAGTTATGTGACATTGGGGCTGGGTTGGGGTATTTGGTCTCTCAATTATAGCATGAGAATATAAAGCTAATTTCTTCATTTGTTTAAATTTCCCTTTTGTGGAAAGGGAACCAAAGCAACACATAATAAAACAAACACCTACTTGAGAAAAACTTTTCTTGGGGAGATCTGTAGAACTCACACAAGTCTGACTTGCAACATGTTGCTCATTCCTGCATTAACACATGAAGCTTCAATAATTAAGGGCTATTTCTGAGTAAATACAGAAGCAATTATAGTGAGAATATTATTGAAATAAAGACTTTCTCACCTTTACATTTACTCTTTTCCCTATCCCCATTCCAATAGTCATTGCTCATTAGTTGCTGTGGTAGAAAATGACAGTCCTACCATGGTATAGCTCAGTGGCACAGCGTCTGCCTGGCAAGTGTAAGGTCCTGAGTTCGATTGCCAGTAAAAAAAAAAAAAAGAAAAGAAGAGAAAATGATGATCCCTATGGGCCTGCCAAGACAGAAATAAGGAAGCAGAGCTGTGAAGATGTGAGTTTTGTCCAACAGTTGAGCTCCAGGATGGTGATAAGAAGATAAGAAGAAGCCAGATGGAATGAAATAGTTTCTCTCTCTTTCTCCTTGATAGCTTCCTAGAGATTGTTCACATCTCAACAGGACGTAGAATCAGTTGCTTTACTCTAGAGACCGAAAGGAGACTTGTATATGCAAGAAAACACCGGTGGCAGATATAGTAAATACCAAGTAAGATCATCCCTCACATCACACTATAGGATGTCTGGTACTCTAAAATCCACCCTGGGAAGAAAGCTTGAGATGATACTTCTAATTGCATTAGTTTTGTTTTCCCATCCACAATCCCAAAAGTTAAAACAAGGTAAAAATTGAATATAAAAAATTAAATATATATTTCATTCTCATGTAGTTTTTGCATGAAAATTTGTACCTCCTAAACCCCAAAAATATTTCAACAGTGACTTAAAGTAACACATCTAGCGCAGGCAAGACCCTGCAAAACTGAGGCAACATGTAATCTACAGAAGTCTGCCTGAGTTACTCTGACCAAAAATTATTCCCTTAGACATTCTTATCCATGTTTTCACTGTTTAAAGAAAATTCAGAGACAAAAGTGACAGGTCCATTGTAGACCCTTTTTTTCTATACAACTCTGTATTTTTAGTTTTTTGTAGGATCTCCATACTGATTTCCATGCTGGCTGTGCTAATTTACATTCCCACTGGCAGTGTACGAGGGAAAGTTTTTCCCTGAATCCTCGTCAGTATTGATTGTGAAGAAGAACAAGATCATGTCATTTGCAGAAAAATAAGTGGAATTGGAGAACACCATGTTAAGCAAAACAAGCCCAGCTCACAAAGACAAGTACCACATGTTTGCTCTCATATGTGAAATCTAGAGGGAAGAGAAGACCTGATGTGAAAATAAAAGGGAGATTATTAGAAAAGAGAAAGAGGATCAGAGAAGCAGAGAGAGGGGAAGGGAAGTAATGGAGGAATAAATAATGATCAAAAAATGGTGTGTGTGAGTATATATGTGTGTGTGTGAATATATATATATGCACCAATGAGCTGAAATAAAACCTATTATTCTGTATAACTAATATGCACTAACAAAAAGGGTTATGTGTTGAAGATTCATCTAATCATGGCATTTATTCTCAAAAACTCCTTCCACTGTCTTCAGAAATTCCTGAATTATAGGAAACCCTAAAATATATTATTAATAATCACAGCAGCAAACCTATAAAACACTGTGCCATTCCTTTGAGAGGGACAAACACAAGTCAAATGTGATGCTTTTTTACAGTAATCTGAAGGTTGCTCAAAATCCTTTGTAACTCAGATCTACAGGGAATTGTTGCTAATCAGTCTGAAGCATCATTCAAATTAAAACCTCTCTGGGGTTCCTTTTGCAGATACTTAGCTTAGATGGTCAGACTCTGACTCTCCCAGTGAAGAATATTCTGCCCAGGATTTTGTAATGAGGTCTGTTTCTGCTCTCCCTTTTTGCATTTGGCAAAATTTTTTCTCTCTGTCCAAATTTATCACTCTACTTTTGATAATTAGTGCACCTCTCTTTCCAGCATATATTTTCAAACAAAGTATAAGAAAACCCTCTTATTGTATTATACTCTTTCACATCTCTCAGGATTATGTATAGCTTTTGTTCTCATCCCATCTTTTCTCTGGTACCTTTCTTATCATCATTACCATCACTAGCTCCAAAGCTCTCCTTATAGACTATGCACTTTAAAGTAAAGTTAGTTACCTAAGAACATTAGACAGATAGCTCTGGTTGTCTCAGCTTTCCAGTCACTGTTTCTACTTCTTCGTCCTCAAGCTAGCAGCCTACACAATGCCTGGCTCACAGCCCTTTGCTAATGGGGCTTTTGTTAACCTTTGCCAATGGAAACTGCCAATTGGAGCCCGGGAGGTGAAAGGAAGAAGCATGTCTCCCTCTTTTGGCAGCTGTGCTGGATGGCATGTGGAGGGACCTCCTCAGGTACCAAGGTGCTCACAGGACCAGTGTCAGGGTGCATTGACTACATTCTGAATAACACTGCTCATTTTCTCTTCTGCAACACTTGGGGTAGTCCTGTAAGTGTCCCACATTTCTCTCTCCACTTCCTGTAATGCATTGTTCACAGTTTCCTGGGTCAAATTAGTTGCTTTATAAGAGAAGAGACTCCTGTTTTCCTAACACAGAGGAGAACAGTGATCAGGAAGATTCATATTAATGAGCTGTCACCAA